TGCAGAATTCATCAAAGGTATCATTTTAATCACAGTTTCTATCTAAACACATTGCAGATCCTCATTTGGGAATTGAAAACTGTTTTATTTCCGCTGTGCATGATTAAATAAATTCCCAACAGTACCATCTTCCAAATTATATATATTTTCATTGTCATTGCTTACAAAATCTATGTCATGACATTGAAAGAGCAAATATGGAAGAAGGGACTCTAGGAAGTGATAAAGAAGAACAGTTTCAAAATTTTCGGGGAGGCCACGAATATAATCAATTTGTTCTAGTCAATGATAAGCCTTAAAAATTCCGATTAGAATTTATGTCTAAAGGTAGAATTGGTTGAGCTCATCAGTTTTTGAGCTGATTATTAACTTGAACAAATTGATAGTTGTAAACTGTCGTAATTCATTTTGAATAATATATGAAAAAAAAAAAAGTGACTACTTGAATCAGGTTTTGAGCACAAAGACTCCTCTGACTTATAATAGAATAATAGAATTTATACTAGAATTGGACAAACAACTCAAAATAGATAAACTTAGCAACAATAAAATTTTAGATTGCACAATAAAAAAGTTAATGTGGGGATTATAACAATTGTTCGATAATCGCGGCAACCTGAAATGACTCACAGAGTTTCATACTTTCACAATTGTTCGATAATCGCAGCAACCTGAAATGACTCACAGAGCTTCATATTTTCTGCATGTATATTGTACAAAATGATTTGTAACTCTTAGACTTGATTCATTACTATTTTAGAATCTACCATTTTGAAGTCCAGGAATTTGCCTACAACGAATTTCTTCAATCCGGCATCTTCCGTTTTGTACTGATTTTCAATAACTCGGATAGTAATTTAGCTGTCTTGACCTAACTATATACATTGTATAGTGTGCTGCCAAGACAATTGAGGATGTAGTTCATGTACAAGAAGTCACTATGACTACATGCATCAAATGCTGCTCGTTTTTTAGAATCTGTTTCCTCCTCAACAGTTGGAGCATCTTCACTCAAGAATTTTACCAAATTCAGAGTCGTGAGATAAAACAACATTTTCAGTTGTCATCTCTTAAAATTCACTGGTGAATATTTTTCAATTTCTATTAGAGAGTACGACAGATGTAGTATTACTTGTCATTATCGTCTTATGCTTGTTGGCAAATATTGATATTACCGCGAATTGATTTGGGCAGAATTACGACTTGCAAAAATGAACGATATAAAATGTTAATGGCTGAGGCTCTCTCCCCTTCAAAAATTATTGGCACTCCTTGGGGCTCAAACCCAAGTCCCAAACTTGAGAAATATAAGGTGGTTTCTACTCTTTTAGCTTTCCTATATAGAATTGGCATTTTTCTAATTTCCTACCAATTTTTATTCCAATTTATTTTAACTTCAATAGGTCATTTTGACATTAATTTCTCATTCACCCTAAATTGATTTTGAGAAAATAAATACATTACATTAATCTACTTATGGATTAGAACACACTCGACCAAAGAAAACTTTTGTCCAACGAAGGGGGCCCATTAAAATAATTGGTCAAAAGTTGGTCAAACCAATTTTTCACAACAGATTTAAAATGCGCTGCAAAATTAAAATGTACAGAGAACATCTAGATTCTTAATTATACAGGCTGCATCTCTTGAAAGCCAAGAACCAAGTATTGTCACGGACTATATTCTCAAGGTAGCATAATTTTAAAGCATTTCATTATACACGTACTTACATAAATTGGTAGACATTATTCTCTGATTGTGGGGTGGATAATTACCATAAACTATTTTTGCAGATTCTGGGGTTGGATAATTGTACAGATATCATAGTAGGAGATCAAAATCTTAGAGGAATCTCTGGAGGGCAGAGGAAACGTAATACAACTGGTGAACAAGCTGCATTTCTTTACAAAATTTTGTAGGAAATTCGGTATTGGTTTTATTAAACTTTAACAATCCATGTTTAAATTTTTTTTTGCTTGTGAAAAAATTACAGGTGAAATGCTTGTTGGACCAGCAAAGGTGTTTTTCATGGATGAGATATCGACCGGCCTGGACAATTCTATAACTTATCAAGTTGTGAATTCAATTAGGCAATCTGTCCATATTCTCAAGGGAACGGCTCTAATTTCACTCCTGCAGCCAGAACCAGAAACATACGATCATTCTCATTTCTGAAGGGCAGATTGTTTATCAGTGCCCTCGTGAATACATGCTTGAATTTTTCGAACTGATGGGTTTCAAAGACCCAGAGAGAAAAGGGGTAGCGGACATCTTGCAAGAAGTAGGCATTGGAAACAATAGAAATGACGTGCTGATGATTATTGCAATTTTCTCAGTTCTGCTAAACCTCCATTTTTATGCAAGTAATATCGACAAAAGATCAGCAGCAGTATTGGATAAACAAACACGCGCACTACAAACTAATTACGGTCAAGGAATTTTCTGAAGCATTCCAGTCATTTCATATCGGGAGGGCCCTGAATTCTGAGCTTTCAACTCCATTTGTTAAGGGAACTCCAATAAAGTATAATTGATCTTACACACATTGATCTATTGATAAAAAAAATATTGTACTCAAAAATGGAATCTATTTATTCTAACAAGGTTTGGGATCTTGTGGATGCACCTAATGGGGTCAAACCTATAGGGTGCAAGTGGGTCTATAAAAGGAAAAAGGAAATAGATGTAAAGGTTGAAACCTTCTAAGCAAGACTAGTGGCCAAGGGTTTTACCCAAAGAGAAGTGTCGACTATGAAGAAACCTTCTCACTAGTTGCCATGCTTAAATCTATTCGAATCCTTTTATCAATTGCCGCTCATTATAATTATAAGGTTTGACAAATGGATGTTAAGACGGCCTTTTTGAATGGACGTTTTGACGAGACTATCTACATTAAGCAATCTAAAGAGTTAGTAAGAGAAGACCATGAAAGGAAAGTTTGCAAGTTGCGGAGGTCCATTTATGGACTTAAGCAACATCCAGGTCCTGGAATGTCAAATTTGATCAAACCATTAAGACCTATGGTTTTGACCAAAATCTAGATGAACCCTCTGTATATAAGTGTGTACAAGGGAAGAAAGTAGTTTTTCTTATTCTTTATGTGGATGACATTCAAATCATCGGAAATGATGTAGGGACATCGTCATCCGTAAAGAAATGGTTGTCACTGTAGTTTGATATGGACTTGGGAGAGGCTGGTTATGTTTTGGGAATCCGTATCTTGCGTGATAGAAAAAACAAAATGATAGCATTATCCCAATCTTCGTACATGGAAAAAAATATTTTCTAAATTAGAAATGCAGAATTCCAAAAAGGGACAATTCCCTTTTAGACATGGAATTCATCTATCTAAGGAGCATTATCCTAAGACTCCAACAGAGATAGATTACATGAAGAAGGTTCCTTATGCCTCGGNAGATTACATGAAGAAGGTTCCTTATGCCTCGGTTGTGGGAAGCCTTATGTATGTCATGTTTTGCACTAGACCGGACATTTGTTTTGACGTGGGTATTGTTAGTCGTTATCAGTCTAATCCAAGACTGGAACATTGGATGGCAGTGAAGCATATACTCAAGTATCTTCGGAGAACGAGAGACTATATGCTCGTCTATTCAAGACATGATCTGAATCCTATTGGGTATACTGATTCTGATCGTGAGTCTAGAAAGTCCACATCGGGTTCAGTATTTACACTTGGAGGTGGAGCCATGGTATGGAGGAGTATTAAGTAATCTTGTATTGCTGATTCCACCATGGAGGCAGAGTATGTAGCCGCTTGTGAAGCTGCTAATGAGGATGTATGGTTCAAAAAGTTTCTCTTGGACCTTGACGTGGTACCTTTGGCAATGGAACCAATAACACTTTATTGTGATAATAGTGGAGCGGTTGCCAATGCTAAAGAACCAAGGAGTCATCAGCGTGGCAAGCACATCGAGGGAAAATACCACCTTGTTAGAAAGATTGTTCATCGAGGAGACTTAACGGTTAGCTAGATTGCATCTGTAGATAATCTTGAGGATCGTTCACCAAGAGCTTACCATCTAAGGTTTTTGATGAGCACCTTAAAAAGATGGGTATTATTGATTTGCCACATATACTTTAAAAGGGCAAGTGAGAGATTGTTATTTTGATGCCCTTTTATAGTAAGTATATTGTAACGACATTATGAATTAACGTTCTATTATTCGCGTGTTAGAATTTGCGATAATAATCTAAGGTTCCATGATCATATGAAATAAGAAATTGTATACTCGACAGTTTGGGTATAATGAGACACAATTCGTTATATGATCAAATATGTCGTTCACAATCGGTACATGAAGTTGGAAGTT